CAGCAGCTTTTAAGGAAATTAAGCCATATAATCAGAATCAAGGGTCTCACATGGGTAATAATTGCCAAAGAGACAGAAAACTGAGCAGACCCAGTTATTTTCTGCAGAAGGAACATCATCAGGAGTTCTCCAAAAGGACTGAGACTGACATGTCCAGGTCCTTCAGAACTTTTATAAAGTTCTACAAAGGAATGTGAACAACACAGTTTGCTCATACTAAGCTGCACCAGGTGGTAAATAAAACATCATCTTGCACAACTGTGGAATAACATTAACATTTCAGAACAGACTTGAGAGGGCTAAAAATTGACAGATGAAATTCAATGAAATAAATGTGAAATTAATGGTAACAAAAAAAAAATCACTGAGTGCAGGTTATAACCTTCCTCCCAGCAAGTAGGATAAGACGACTTTAACTTTGGCTTAAGCTTCCTGTGAAAAATCAGACTGGCAGAAAAACCCAGAGCTGGAGTTGTCACATTCCCCTAAAAGTCCTGTTCCAGAAAAACTGATACTGCTGGAAATACCACTTGGATAGCCATGTACTGCTAGAACTGGAGATCTACACTGCATGTTGGACAACAGGCACAGAAGGTCAGGAAAATGGACATGGCTCCTTCCTGCACTTTATTAGCAGTTTGGGAAGTGGGAAACATCCAGGGAACTGAACTTGGCTCAAGGGTTCAAAGTCCTGCTCATGCACATCAGGCAGGTCCAAAGAAAGAGTTATTTGACTCAAATCTCAAGCTGCCTCAAGGGAAACATAAGTTGGATGTTAGGAAAAAGTTTTTCATGGAAAAAGTGATAAAGTTCTGGAATGGCTGCCCAGGGGGGTGGTGGAGGCACCATCCCTGGATGTGGTTATCAAAGCCTGGATGTGGCACTGGGTGCCAGGGTTTAGTTGAGATGTTGGGGCTGGGTTGGACTCAATGATCTTGAAGGTCTCTTCCAAACCATTGATTCTGTGAATTCTGTGATGTTTGAGTCACAACACACCATCTCCTTCTTCTACTCAGGCGAGTAAAGAGCTGCAGGATTAAAACCTAGAGGGAAAATAGAACCTCAGAAATGGGCCTATAATTACCCCTGATTTTCCACATTAACTCTCAAGCCCCCAAATGGCAATCCCCTCTCTGATGCACAGTTGCTGCTTTCACACAGCCAAGCTCTGTATGACTGATCAGAGTTTGACCCTGAAATATTCTTCCCCATTTACATCCTCAATTGTAAACACATGGTGAGCATCTACTTTTGCTTTTAATTAGTTGGTTTCTCACTTCTTGGAGGCCATTTGTGTGTTATTAAATTGAAATACTGTGCATACCACTACTTCTGAGGGTGGCCTGGAATGAATTTTGGTGGTATATTAGATATAAGTCCTGCAACAGCATAAGAGAGTTCCACATGTAGCAGCGCTTTCAGAGACAGGAATCTGCTGAGCAGAGTGCACATATGCATCTAATGGTACCTTCTCATGAAAAACTGATTTTTTTCCTCCTTTTCATCACCTATGTAATTGCTATAAATAAAGCAAGAGAATTTCAAGATTTCAGGAGTGCAGCTATGGTTGTTTGTGTTAAATTGCATCTCCCTGCACTCAGAACAGCCTGTGCGTGCTCATGCCACTAAAGGGGAAGCAGGGAAGAGGGAAGCAGGTTCCCTTGTCATCTGTCTGGCTGCCAGCCAGGCATGAGATGGAGAAACCTTCCTCTGGAACTTGGTATGAGTTGAAGTGCAAGTTTCTACAGATAGTTCTACACTAATAAACTTCAGATGAAAGTTGCTGCATGAGAATTTCCAGTGGGCTGAAAATGCACTTTATAGGAGGAGCAGTTGCTAAGGTGAATTATCTCAGATTCCTACATCAGGATGTCAGGCAACCTAGATGAGATGCTGAGCTACCCTCAGGCCTTCCTCCTTCACCACAGAAGATGAACACTTTCAGGCGTTCAGAAGTCAGAGTTTGGTGCTGTGATACAGAAAGCCCCATGCCCCAGCTGGGCCAGACCTTTGAGGGGACAGGGTATGTGGGGAGATGGGGGTTCAGAAAGCCCAAGGTTGCATCTCACCAGATTTTTCTTTTTCTCCATATGTGCCTTTTCCATCCTCTGAGCAAGCATTGCTGATGATTGTTTTTACACTGGCCTTGTATCTTTGTTCCAGGGTGATGATGGATGGAATGAGCTGCCCAGAAATGGGTGTTCTATCTCAGGCTCCCCGTTGTGCTGCCACATGTGTAAGTCTGCCAGCTGAGCCAGAGAGGAAACAAAGCTCAGGGGCATTCCAACAGAAAGGTATTTCAGCAATCCTTAGAGAAGACCAAGACACAACAAGACTCCTCTATCCCTTTAGACTCATTACTAATACCAAACCCATTGGTAGAGTTGTTAGTGGAGTTGCTAATTGCCAAACGAGCCTGTGCTATAAGAAAAATTCCAACATAAAACCTCCACCCAAACCACTACACTTTATGTAAATATATAATGGTCTTGCAGGTAACTCTGTGAAGTGTCCCCCTTTTCCAGTATTAGAAAATAGTTCTCAGGACACCTTTGTCAAAGATTTTACCTTGAATTCCAAAGCCTTGGTTTTTTTTCCCTTCCCTAGGAAATTAGCCAGAGCTAATACATCAAATAAAGATATAAATACTTAAATTCAGATGTCTGTCACGTACAAAAAGGCTCAGCCTCCACAGTCTCTGCTCCAGTACACCTGGATACACTGCTCCTCTGTATTTAAGGTCCAGATCAGGTGTCCCCCCTCAGCCAACACCTCTGCTCAGCCCTGCCCTTACGTTTCACAGCCCTGGGCTCTCTTCTCACAACTCACTCATTTTGTAACCAACAACACTCCCACAAGTCCTGTGGTGTATTAGATCTAAGTCAGGCAATGGAATAAGACAGAGAAGGAAATGGACCTGGCATACCTAGGGAGAATATTTAAACTAAAAATAATTATACTTAAAGCATGTTGGCAGCCAAAGCCGCTGTAATTAAAATAAGGTTTATTTTGCCCATTAAGAAACCTGCTCTTTACTTTTATTGCAGGAAACCACCTACTCTGAACATTAATAAAGCCTTTCAGCTACTGGCCTGGCTGGAAACCAATATCCAGCCAATCTTCACAAGCACTGAGCACTTGGTTCAATATTTTTTTAAATCAGAATTGCTCAGAGTACTTCTGGTACCCTGCAGACAGAGAACCTGAAAACAGACTGGGCATTATCATAGAAAGCAGGACCTTGAAACAAGTGTATGATTCTGGAAACTTACAAGAAACTGTGGCTGTACAATCCTGAATGCATTCCTTGGACAGTGTTGCATACAGGAAATACCTAAAGAAAAAACACTCAATAATGCCAATAATCTTTTAAGACAGAAGCAGCTAGATAAAACAACAAATTTTGACTTCAAATGCTTGCAAGACATCCAGATTCTGTGTGGCTCAGACATGCAGATCTGCCTAGGCAGACAGAAAGAACAGGGCTGGTTATGCAGTTCTGTTCAGGTACCCACAACAAATGGCAAAATGAAACAAAAAAAACCAAACCCAAAATGTACAAGTGTTATGTCAGGTTAATTTTGAAGCATTCAAAAATAAGCACCCAAAAAGATGCTATGCCCTGATTTCAGACAAAGTTTGCCATATTTGTATCAGCACTGAGCAGCTACATCTCTAGAAAGAGCAGGTTTGCTTCCCAAGCCAGTGCATAGGATGTCATTTCAGCAGTTAAACCACTGTAGTACCTTCTATCCATTTCCCAAACAAGATCTGAGCAAGCCTGTGCACTGTCTGTGATGGGCTTTGGGAAGCCTGGCACCAAACAAAATCTGAGGCTGTAGCTCACTTTGAAGGGAGCAAAAAGAGCTCCACAGTCAGGAGCTTCCCTCCAGGGTGTGACTGCAGTGCCTTCTACTGCTCCTGTGTGTCCCTGAACAACCCTGGGACTCCTCACACCCACACCCCACCAGCTGCCTTCCTCTGGAGCTCTGTGCCCACAGCACCACCCAAATCTTCACCAAACCCTCTGATTCCCCCTTGGAAAAGCAGACACCCAGCCCTGCAGAAGAGAGGGGGGCACCCAGGGCTGCAGACCCCAGCAGCCACTGGCACCAACATCCAACTCCTCCAAAGGCAGAGCTGGAGGGCTTGCAGGCACTGGGCAGGCAGTTTGGAGTGCATGACTGTGCAGTAAGGTAGAAAAATTATAAAGAAATGTCTCCTAAAATCAGGCCTGCTCTGTTAAATGGATGGCTGGCCTTGTCAAGCTAGCAGTTTGCAAGTGCCCATGTGAGAACAGTCCTGGTGTGAGCAGTTCATTAACACAACAGTCTATTCCTGGGTGAAAAACAACTAGCATAAACATGAAATCTATCCCATGAGAACAGTGAAGAAAACATGTAAACAATTGAAGAGTAGAGAGATTTAGTGAACAAGTAAAACACCTTTTACTAAACAATAGAGTAATTGGAAAGAAAGCTACTGACCAATTGGAGTCACACATGAGGTCTGTAAAACCGTATAAACACAAGTTATGTGAATAAAGAATGGGCTTTTTCAACCATGAAGAAAATGGAGTCCTGTGTGATTTATTCCAATAGATGCTTCCCACCAGCCATAGAAATGCAACTGCAAGGCTGTGTATTATCCTGCTTGCAGAGATATTGCTCCCTGTGGTGTCAATGACCCAGACCTGACAGGTCAACACCCAAAAATTTCACCGTGTTTCCACATGTGAAAGGGTCAGCCCCAGACCTGCTCTGTTAGCCATGTAAACTCAGTGGAAATCTACAGAATTCAGGCTATGGAAGGTTTCTCTGAAGACAGAATGAATGGTACCAACAATCACCTCCCTCAGATTCCATCCCAAATAAATGGATTCATGGCATCGTGCTGGGGTTTCTCAGTTTGAGCTGGAAAAATTCCATAACATGTTAAGAAGTTAACTGTGAGGTCAAGGGAGAGTTTTACATGCAATTGTACTGAAACCCTAAGCTTACCTGCAGTGTTTTCCACCAATTCTGATACTCTTGGAATGTCACAGTTCAAACAATCACAACACAAAGGATGTCACCATACAATTCCAGAAGGCTTTAAGCATTTACCCACACAGAGCAACACCTCACCACTTCAGAGGGCTGCAAGGAGCTGCCCTTGTTTTACTTTATCCCAGGCTTTTATCCCCTCATGCTGATGCCCTGCCCCTGTGTGCCCCCTGCTCCCTTTGGAGGTTGCTCAGTGCCCCTGGGCACTCCATGGCTCATTGCTGTCAGTGCTGCTCACAGCTGTGCCCACTGGGGATGAGGCTCAGCCCCACCCCAATCACCACAACCTGCACCTTCCCAGCCCCACTGGAGAACTGCTGATCTGTGCTGGGGCTTGGCAGCACTGGGGCTCTCCATCCCTCCCTGCCTTCCCTGGGACCTGCCTCTCCCCTGCTGCCTTCCCCATCCAGGCAGTGCTAAACCCAGAAACCCTGAGGGGATCAAAATAACCTCACCATATCTGCCTAAGCCTAACAAACACCATTTTGATTCATTTCCATCAGATAAGCATTGTGCCCTATAAACAACTTTTCAACACAGAAAAAGCAGTTTCTCTGAACACTGTGCAGTGCTACAGATAACTAACATAAAAAATGTCCTGCAACGCAGGCACTGAATAACAAAATAATCAGTTTTTCCACTCAGATGCTTTCTAATAGTGCTTCTGCTTTTTTTTCTTTTTCTTTCTTTTTTTTGTGAGATGTGGTGTTCATAATAAATAATTTCAAGACTTAATGTTCACTGGCTCCTTTGTCACCAGCAACTCTCGAACTGCCAAATGAAAAATATCTCATTTTTTGGTATTCTGTAGAAGGACAGTATATTTGTCAACAGTTTTATAGCTCTTAGTAGTACTCCATGAATATCATCAGCATTGGATCCTCTCTCAAAGGCCTACTGTATAAAAAAAAAATAATTTAAGCAGCAAGTCTGATGATTCCCTTTTTCTCTTTATTACAGCAGCACTACTGTGCTGTTATCATTATGGGGCTGGCAGCATTTTTATTAGAAACTGCTACTCCAGGGGTTTATAACTCGGCAGTAAAAATTCACTTCAGAATGAAACTTGTCATGCAAGAGAGCTCTTATTTAAGCCCAAATGTCAGAAAATTATATTTATATTTTTTTTAAAGTTATTTTAAAGCACATTCAATTGTTCAGACAATTGGACTACAACAATGGCTGGTAATTTGAGCCCCAGCACTGCAAAAAGAGCTTGCTGAATGTGACATTCAGAAATCATTTCCTAAAGCTTGTGGGCACTAAACTAAAATCTATGCATGTCCCTTTACAAGGAGTGCCTTAAGACAGGCAGTGTATTATCAACAGCACTTAAATCTCTCACCAAGCCCAATTTCTGTCTGCTCAGAGGTAAAGCCAATCCTTCATATCACTCTGGCTGTATCAAAAACAACATTTAACACAGTTTCACACTGTTCAGGGTTCCAAAGCTTCTTAGGGACATCAGCACTCAGCTCTTTCTGCATTCCAGTGCAGGCTGCAGCAGATGCCCAACTTTTTAGCTCCTCTACAATCCCTAGCCAAAGAAATCCAAATAAGTATTTTCAGAGTGCTACAGAAAGCAGGGACAAATCCTCCATGACCTTGAATCATTCCAGGTTTTCTTTCTTCTTTACAAAACAGGGAAAGAAGGTAGCTAATTGCAAAAAATACAATGAGTTATACTTCTTTGAGTGCTCAAGTGGTCATATTAAAATGATACAAATGCTTAAGGTATGACCAGTAATAAAATCCCACTGCCAGAGACATCTGCAATACAGCAGGAGATGAGACAAGACCTAAGATGATTTTTGGCTGTGCTATACAAAGATGTATCCTGGAGATTCAGTACAAAACATCAAAAACATCAGTTCAACTCAGATTTTAGGGTTTGAAACAATACAGCAGGAGATGAGACAAGACCTAAGATGATTTTTGGCTGTGCTATACAGAGATATATCCTGGAGATTCAGTACAAAACATCAGTTCAACCCAGATTTTAGGGTTTGAAGGGTAATAGGAGAATTTCCTCCTAAAAGTTGTCTGGTTCTGAAATGTGGCTAATGAAATTAATTCCCATAGACACCCCTCCCCGCCCCCCCGAAAAGTTTTTTTGCTCTTTTCAAAAACATCTATTAATAGAGTAGCAACATTTGTGAATTCATTCTCTTTATTGCTCATTAGACTAAATTCTGGTCATTTTAAGTGGAAGAGAACTTTGAGCAAATGATCACTTTTTCAGAGCAATTCCTGATTTGCTTTTACAAGACTGTTTCCTATGCAGCTGTAACCTACAGTAACTGTTGTCTGACAAGAGCCTTTTAACTGAAATTGCCCCCATTACAGCTGTAATAAAATCAGATTAGAAGATTAAGAAGCTGACTTTATGGTTCATCCTTCACTCCCCCCTCTTTAGGTGAGATTTCTATCATTTATGGTACTTCATAACACATTAAAATACTGAAAAGCAGAGGTTTTCATGCTGGCTCCCACAGAATGAGGCAAAACCTCTGCAAGCAGACAAGGAGAGTGAAGGAGCAGCCTTGCTGCCACGGAACAAAAATGGCTCAGGGACGTAGTGCAGCACCCAGAACATGAAAGGCAAGAAGGCTGAAGGCAGCTTTTATCTGAGGGAACGCTGATAAAGTGAAACATTCATTTTTAAAATTCAGGACAGCAAATAATTCAGGAGAAGGCTGAATTTCGACAGCTTTTCAGTTGTTTTCCTGCTCTAACACAGACTAAAACACAGACTTGAAGGGCAGCACCACCATCTGAGAGCTGAGGGTTCCTTTGAGCCATGCTCAGGGGAAGAATCCAGAGTATTGCTGGGATGGTCAGCAGTTGCATTTCTGGCTGAATTTGTAAGTCACTACATATCAGTGAAGTTTTTGCCATTAATTTTATTGGCAAATGGATGGGCCTCCTGCCACTGGTTACAATTCTTGTGGCACCTCTGTTATTGCCTTCCAGTTCAGCATTTCAGTGACTGGAACAAGCCTGCTCATGGGATGCTCAAGAACATCATTAAAGCCCTCCCATTTCTTCTTAGGCCCAGCTTTGTGGCTTTCTTGTTTCAGCATCTATGCCAAACAAAGCACTGATGTGGTTTCCCGACTTCTGGAGCACTTTGATGCAGAACCAGATCATAACACCTCTGCTGGGAGGATGGACAGTATTCCTGAGAGGCTGGAACAGCATTTGGAGCAGACCAAACATGTCCAGATAAAAGAATGCAGGCCACAGCTCTGCTCTTGAATCACATGAAAACTTTAAAGAATGAAGCCCTTCTCTCATAAGGAAGGTAAGGGCATGTTTTAGCTTTAGGTGTGTGCTCAAAACTCACTGGCTATGAATTAATTGCTGGGTTTAACAGGATTGACTTCAGTATGTACTTCAATATTTTACTGAACTGGGAATTTTACAGATCTCATTTAACACAAAAAGGTTTTAGCAATGAGCCAGGTGCATAGTACTTATGATCTTCTGAAACTTTTACCTACTGATGGGGAATTAACAAAAATGAGCTTCAGATTACTACAAGCCTGAATCCCCTTTGACTTCCACTGAAAATTCAACTCTTAATGAACTCACAACTCCCCACTTTGATAATGATTTCCATAATTCAGAATTTGGCAACTGGAAACATATTCTGGAGATCTTCTACATCCCCACAGCTCTGAAAAAGCTTATTAATACATGGGTGGTATCCTAACAGATGTTACAAAGCAGCACTGTCTTAAAACACTTAAAAAATCCAAACTGATTTGCTGCAAATGCTATAGATTAGAAACAAGCCTCAGAGAAATGTTCAAACCCACAGTTGTCCTTACTGAAACAATTGTCTCCTCAAAATTACCCAGACTAGGTGGTCTGCAGACAAACTGTCAAGTGCCTAACTATTTCTGCATGTTTTGGGAGATTTGCCTTTTAATCCATGAAACAGCTCTCTGTGTTCTTAAGATGCTCAGATGTAATTGTTGTTCCTGTCCTGTAAGCTGGACAAACACTTCTCAGGCAACCACTGGAAGTTTCCCTTCAGTAAATGCTTTTGATGCCTCAGGTTTTAGCTTTTATATTTTTCACATTCTGTGCTGCTTTAGTGTGTGCGTCTGGGCTTCACATCAGGGGATGGTGAGCTCTCTGCACAGAGCAGGGAGACAAAACAATTCCTTCTCTAGCTGAGGACCAAGGACAAATGATGCAAGTCTCAGGCCCAAGAGCACAAACACCTTGGGCTGAAGAGAGAAAAAGAAGAATAATGGTAGTTCATGGGGTAAAGCTGGAGTTGGAGAATTAACTCCAATATGCAAATGGAGCAGAACTGATCAAAGTGAGAGACCCCATGAGCGCTCGTGCATTTTGTGACCATTTTGGTTCATCTTGGGTGCAGCCCTGGCTGGGCTCTTGTGCTGCCCAAGGTGGATCCATTGAGGCCTTTGAATAAATCCCTGCTTTATTCTTTATCTCTGTCCAGTCTCTGTTCTAGGTCAGCCTTCACAAGGCATCACTTTCACTGCACCACCTCAACCTTTGCTCATCCACAGCCGCTGCTGCTTTGCCATTTCAGGTACCTTAAAGCATTGCAATAAAACCATGCCAGCTTCCCCCCGTCCCAGGACAGGTGGGCACTAACATCTCTGTAACTCCTCAGCACCACAGACTGGTTTCCACTGACCCTTTTGCCCTGGAATGGGCTGTACCTGGCTGGGGCACTGCCAGCAGCCCCACAGCCTGTGGTTCAGGTATTTATTCTGTGGCTCTGCCTCAACAAAGGAGAGGTTACCTGCTTTCTTTGCTTTAAGGCAGTGGTAGGAAAAAGCAAGCTAAAAAGAAATTCCAAAGGCAGTGTCATTAAATATCAGTGGAGCTGGCAACGTGGTCCTAGACATTATATTCCTTCAGCCCTTCCTAACTCAGGATTTGTGTTTTGGAAGAAAATAAAATGTAAATCAGGCTGCCAATGCAGAGTGATTTCAACAGGCCCACAAAATGTTCTTGGCTGAAACAGAGAGAAATCCCCCAGTGCTCAGCAGTCCTAAACCAGAAAAAACTCCCTCTCACATCACTGGGAAGAGAGCCAGAGAGAAGG